CGGCAGAAACCATATAAGAGCTACAGGCGGAGTTAGACAGTAACTTAGGAATACTAAAATAGTTAACTATTTCCACACATTCATACGTATACTCTCGTCCATACCACCAGGGAATTTGGCAGCCTCGATAAAATATCACAACCATTGCATTGAATACTTCATTTGTAAATTCCCATCATTTATCCATCACATTCTGCATGATTCTTTCAGTCCACATCCTCTTTTTTTCCTCATATTCTCTTCAACTCGATCTCCTTAACCTTCTGCTGTAAGGTTTTCCACTTCCGATCAGTGTTACAAATTCGTTATGTCGACAGACAAAAGTAGTATACACCACAGCTGTATGATTTTTCATTCCACGTTACTCGTGTTTCCCATTCCTGACTTATGCTAACTAGGGAAATTCTGATAAATATACAACAATCTATATGTTGCTACAATTCGGGACTTAATCACAGCTCTTCTTTACATGCCTTTGTTCACTCAGCCTTTCAGTCTTAACATGTAATCTATGAAAATAAACCAATGAATCACAATTCAATCACAATTCGTGTCTTCAAACACCAATCTCCTTGATGATGTATTACACATGGTTATCTTTGTGTTTCATCAACACAGAAGTGCACATTTCGGTTTTAGTTTTGAATAAATGAAATCTACACAGATTGAATGCTGTGATATTGTGCTATTCAATCATTTAATAGATTGATTTATTCAAGCAAATGATCAACAGTAGTTCGATTCCTGTATAATTCAGAAGACATTGGTGTTATGCAGCTCATGTGATTTAGATTCTGTAAGTTTCCTTTCATTAACAGTGCTGAATTGAAATTAATCTGGTCGTAAGTGCCTTCACACCTCAGTATTGTAGATATTCACGAATAGATCTGGAAGATTTCTTAGAAGGTCTATAGCGGTATATATGATCAAGGTGCTATCAAAAATGACGAATCGATCTACCACAAAGTAGCAAATATATATTTATAAAGTGAAGATGAACATGATGTCCGGGATCATCATCATCATCATCTACTTGAAATATAATTGTAACATTTATTATGTTGATCATCATTAAGCTGTCCTTCCAGTTACTTGATTTCTGACGATCGCATTACAATTCACTTGATAAGATGATATTTGTAGTGTGGTGTCGAGTCGCGGTTGACTATGAACACCACCACAAGAAGACTACGTGCCAGTTAACCGAATAAATCCCACGTAAGCCAAATATCAGAAAGCAGTTGATGGCTGTAGTCGAGATGTATTTGTTGGTGATCTCGTGGTATCGAATGGATACCGAGATCGTTCCAAAGGAGTACAAGCGTGGTTACTGAGCGTAACCCAACCCGCACAAGGTCACAATCAATCGAAGGATAATGGAGCAGTAATATGGCTGTCTTTAGCACAGTTAAACAAACGAGCACAGTAAAACAATCACTGGTACAATTGGTTTTAATAATGATTGTCTGCATTAAACCCATCGCGTTCACTTGATGGAAGTAGGTCACTACATATTCAACATTGCAAACTGTGATCAGATATTGACATTATAGAGAGAAGATCTGTTGCTCAGAAGGTTGATGTTTTATCTTTTCAACTGACGTATTGATTATTTGCTCTATAAAAATGGTCTCTTCCATGTTCTATGTGCCGAGTACCTGACTTCTCTATTGGAGCCCATGCAATTCAACTCCACCACAGTCATCTTACATCACCATTCATTGTTCATCTGTGTTGCTCAGTACAATCGCTTTGTTATCACTGTAATAGTTCACATTGCAACTCCGAACAGTGACACTTCCATGCATTTTCCGGTCAAACTATTCCATCAGTAAATATCTATAGATATACCTATAATATAACATTCTCATGCAAGGTTATTTGAGGTTCAATAATTCTTGATAATCAAGGGAAATTTCGATTTTGTTTACAAATAAATGTATACCATGAGTTCATTAATCCCATGTGTGAACCGACTGATTACCTGAGTCATGTTTGTTTAATGCTTTTATTGTAGCGTCACCATCAGTATTGTCGTTGCATATTTTAAGGTTCAATTTTCAGTAATTGAAATCAATCGAGAGGAGCCTATAAACGTATGCATCCTGTTAGTTGACAATGATCAAAAAGATGTATCTCTTCACTTTAGGGAACTTACGGTGGTTGTTAGATTAGAATCTAAAACTCTTTCCATCTGGAACCAGACCATTAACTATTTCGAGAATTGTCTGAACTCTGAAGAATGAACGAACATAACATTGATGTAACAAATCTCACTCACACAGAGAGCTTAATTAGCTCGGTAGTAACTCGTATTCAGAATCTCTTATCCAAATTCTTTTTATGTTTATATCTTTCCTAAACTTCCCATTCATCTTTCCCAATTCACATTGATTCCTCTTCATCGTAATTACCTTGACTCTACCGCATTTATTACATACTGAATTCACAATAACGACGGTTATATCACTACTACTACTAATAATAATATTATGATTATTATTATATTGATAAAAACCTTACTACAACTCATTCTGAACTTCATTAACTGACTTGACTTATTTACAAATCACACCACCTTCAAGTAGTTCTATAGAAACAAATGAGAATGATTAGCACTTTTCACATATAACATTGGTCATTTTATTCATGCCTGCCTTATATTGTCATACCCTTTAGTTGTGTAAAATAGATTTAAACTATTTATCGAATGGAGTAGTTTATAAAAGAATCCTCACAGAGGCTCTCAAAAGCGAAACATCTTCCTCACCTCTCCTCTGACTTGCAAATTTACAACCATACTAATAAGCTCAACACTAAAGCTTCACTTCACATTTGAGACGACAACAATCCATCAAAGGAAAAAATAAATTTGATCGGAACAAAAGATACTACCTATTTGAGGATTGTTTTTGAAACAACAACCATTTCAAACAAACAATATAAAAATTCCGGTAGGTGGGAAAAACAGTGAGAAGATCAAATAAAAGGAGAAATTGGTGAATAGAACAGAACAACAAAGATGATGACGATAATGACAACATTGACACATGCACACACACACTCACACATGCTTATTAACATGTTACCAGATTTTAAAGATTGTTAGTGCTCACTAATTGTAGGCAAATATATCAGTGTGTGTGTGTGTGTGCTCAAGCAAAGAAACTCGACAACAACTTCACATAACACTAAAGTGTACTAATACATGGAATCAACCAGATTGGAGACTATTTGAAAAATCAGACATGATGTCAGGTCCTCCCTTGAACTGTGTTGCTTGATAAGTCATGCTGTTTCTACAATGTGGAATATTGGTACGTAAATGTTTATATGAGTCAAATGTATTGAGAGTAAAAGACATGTTTAGTCAGTAATCAATCAAGTTCAAAATATATCCTAACTGACCTGCTCTTTTAAGTGAAACTTGTATTTCATCATTTTGTTTCCTACAATGTTATATCATTGTGCTAGACCTGTCATTGTCTTGTATTCACGAAACGTCAATGTCGAAGCCTGTATCAGATTTACTTAAAAGATGAACTATGTAGGTTTGTGTCTGGTTTGACGGTATATTATTGTTGAGGGAGTGTGTTATATCCGAGCAAAGATTAAATCACGAGTAACTTCTGAGGCATTATGATTGACTAATATACATAAGCCATAAAAATTGCCGGTGATTTTGGAGTTAATATTATTATTAAGAGTGAACAAAATGGCGATTTCTTTAGAACAGTTACAGTTAATATTACAACAGCATTAGCAATAGTACCAGAAGATGTTAACAGAGTGTTAATGAAATCACGTATGAGGGAAATTGTAAGTGAAAATCGTCAGAAGGAAAGCAAACTAATAGCCCGATAAGGTACGGGAAACATGTACGTTTAGAGATAAGAGTCATCGATGAAAAACACTTATACACGAGCGTTAATACAGGAGATTCGCTAATGAAAGTAGTTAAAGAGAGATATCAAAAATGTTTAAGTGTTGCTCCTACTGAAGCAACGTATATTCCGATGCTCAGTTGTATTTGAAATCTGTTATGTATAAGCTATATAGGATTACGAGTAATTGGACAGTTTATAATTCCATCACATTACCAAACGAAACCTCACCTACTGCATTGTAACTAGAAACGGATAGAGTGAATTTAGTTATGAAATAGAAATTTTCACTTGATAACTGTTGGTCAACAAAAGTAGTTTACCTAAATTCATTAAACGAGCAGAATCAGAGATGCAGAACGATATTTATAAGTGGAGTAGTAACAATATGATAAATGGACTGAAGTTAGAGTAGTAAATCAAATGATGCGTTGTAGAAAATGTCTGCAGATCTTGGTTTTGTCTTCGGTAGAATTGTTGTTGTGCACTGTTGAGGTTTATTACGCTTGAACAGAAGAGATTTCATCATAAACTGGAACGATATTTATGTTCAGCAATCTCTGGGATTGTTTTGATATCAGCTCTGAATGGAACTGTTTTTCAAGTTAATTGACTTCACTGATAGCACATATTTTAAAAAAGATTCATGCAACCAGTCAACTCCTACCGACGTAACGTTACATTCTGCAGTAGTTACGTGACTTTTGTTACCGTCATTCTAAATACAGGTAGCGATACAAACGCATCATTCATTATAATGCACATTCAATCAATTCCAGATCGATCACGATATAAATTGACGACAATTCATGAGGAGAAGATGATTGATATCTGATAGTGGTCATATTGACATTCCAAATAATGGAAATTGACTACTACTTTTGTAGGACAATGATCTTCAGAAACATTTGTCCTACTTGTAAGTAGTTTAAAGGCATGGATAAAAAATTAGCCACCAGCCTGAGTTTTGACTGGTATCATGAATCGATCAATGTTAGACCACCATTGAAAACCTGGAACACAGGATGGTCATTTCGTCTTAGTACGAGACTCCCCAGCACTGTGCATCCATGATCGCGCATTCGTGACTCGAACCCATGACCTTCGATCGTACACTCAAATCGGAGAGAGGTCACTGCACAACTGAATATTTACAAGAGATCGGTCACGGGCATAGTATGGTAGTAGTAGTAGTAGTAGTAGTAGTAGTAGTAGTAGTAGTAGTAGTAGTAGTAGTAGTAGTAGTAGTAGTAGTAGTAGTAGTAGTAGTAGTAGTAGTAGTAGTAGTAGTAGTAGTAGTAGTAGTAGTAGTAGTAGTAGTAGTAGTAGTAGTAGTAGTAGTAGTAGTAGTAGTAGTAGTAGTAGTAGTAGTAGTAGTAGTAGTAGTAGTAGTAGTAGTAGTAGTAGTAGTAGTAGTAGTAGTAGTAGTAGTAGTAGTAGTATAGTAGTAGTAGTAGTAGTAGTAGTAGTAGTAGTAGTAGTAGTAGTAGTAGTAGTAGTAGTAGTAGTAGTAGTAGTAGTAGTAGTAGTAGTAGTAGTAGTAGTAGTAGTAGTAGTAGTAGTAGTAGTAGTAGTAGTAGTAGTAGTAGTAGTAGTAGTAGTAGTAGTAGTAGTAGTAGTAGTAGTAGTAGTAGTAGTAGTAGTAGTAGTAGTAGTAGTAGTAGTAGTAGTAGTAGTAGTAGTAGTAGTAGTAGTAGTAGTAGTAGTAGTAGTAGTAGTAGTAGTAGTAGTAGTAGTAGTAGTAGTAGTAGTAGTAGTAGTAGTAGTAGTAGTAGTAGTAGTAGTAGTAGTAGTAGTAGTAGTAGTAGTAGTAGTAGTAGTAGTAGTAGTAGTAGTAGTAGTAGTAGTAGTAGTAGTAGTAGTAGTAGTAGTAGTAGTAGTAGTAGTAGTAGTAGTAGTAGTAGTAGTAGTAGTAGTAGTAGTAGTAGTAGTAGTAGTAGTAGTAGTAGTAGTAGTAGTAGTAGTAGTAGTAGTAGTAGTAGTAGTAGTAGTAGTAGTAGTAGTAGTAGTAGTAGTAGTAGTAGTAGTAGTAGTAGTAGTAGTAGTAGTAGTAGTAGTAGTAGTAGTAGTAGTAGTAGTAGTAGTAGTAGTAGTAGTAGTAGTAGTAGTAGTAGTAGTAGTAGTAGTAGTAGTAGTAGTAGTAGTAGTAGTAGTAGTAGTAGTAGTAGTAGTAGTAGTAGTAGTAGTAGTAGTAGTAGTAGTAGTAGTAGTAGTAGTAGTAGTAGTAGTAGTAGTAGTAGTAGTAGTAGTAGTAGTAGTAGTAGTAGTAGTAGTAGTAGTAGTAGTAGTAGTAGTAGTAGTAGTAGTAGTAGTAGTAGTAGTAGTAGTAGTAGTAGTAGTAGTAGTAGTAGTAGTAGTAGTAGTAGTAGTAGTAGTAGTAGTGATAACCATAGTTCATAGAAGTTTTCAATGTCACATTTTCTTCAGTATACGATCCGATGCAACAACAGTTTGTATAATCATTATGTGGATAAAATGAACTGTTTGTAGATAGAGAATTGTATGAACCTTAGTCTTCCGTTATAGATGGACCACATATTGAAACTACAACGAGATTGTTGAAGCCTTTTGGAATAGGCGTAGCACACGAAACAACAATATTACTACAACAAATACTATGCAAATCAAAAGATGAAACGACAAAAGAATAATAATCAAACATCATCTACAAAATAGATTATGTCAATTGTGGAAATCACTGCATCGGACAAAGTGGATGCCCTCTTCATCTTCGCCTGTATGAACATGAATTATTGGTCAAAAGCCATAGCATATCTCACTTGTTGTCGTTGATTTCCGTCCATGTGATGAGATATTTCACGCGTGCCTAAGTCAAAGGAGATTAATTCAACTGTCGTTGTACTTTTAATCATAACTTCAATCTATACGTTGTACAGAATATATCGCAAGCAGTCTTTTGACATTTCACCAGATTAATAGTGAGAAATTTAAAAGTGCACAAATGAGAAATGTCTGGCTGATTGATTATTTCACAACGATACATAGTTTCACTCATTTAGATATGAGGAGTAGTATGACCTGATTTTCATTCACATAGTGTTAGCTAATGATCAATCAATTAAAAGAACAGCATAATAAGAATAAATTGGAAGGTTAAAATGTTGATTTACAAATTGATTAGACGTTTTGACTGAATACATTTGATCAAGAAGAAACTCCAAAACTCAGGAATTGCCACAATTATTCGTCGATGATGTGTGATTAGGTTGGAGAATTCGCTAACACCTGAAACAACAACTCAACAGTATCATGCTCATGGCTATACTCGAGGGTTTTGAACTTGATCTCATGTGAATCTAATGGTGTGTTCAAAATGGAGTCTGGAAACGAATTCACTTACTAATCACTTGTTTTTAGTTTCAACCGAATTATTGTCTGATGTAACTGTTGTTTTTGTCAAGACATGTACTACTAATCAAGATAGACATCTAAAGCAATGAAGAGGAGTATGAGGTTTATGGAAGAGAAGATCTAGATGACTTGACTGATGACGATCTGATTGAGAACAATATTGTTCGCTTATATGCGTTGTTCTACTTTTCTTCAATGGGAGTCCTGAATATTGAAGAAAAGTGATACATTTTCTTGAAGTATCATCCTTTTTATTGACATTTTGTCACAATGTTGCTTTCTATCCTTACTGTAGGTCTCTCAGATATGAAATAAATCATAATTATCCTATTCCGATGAACCCGATTTTTCTTAGTTGCACGCATTTACTCTGTTTATATTCTTTACTTTTCAATCTTCCATTTTTGTATTCGAACAGGATCAAACTCGTCTGAAAGTGAAGAGAGACATCTTATTGGCAACTGCTTATAAAACAGAGCGATCGGATCAAGGCAGCGTTTACTGTATGTGATAAACAGTATCAGTTTAAACAAATGCCGTTCGGGTTGCCTGGTGCACCGTCCACGTTCAGAAGATTAATGACACTACTGCTCAAGAATCTAGATAATGTCGAGGTATATGGCGACGACGTAGTTGTGTACAGTCAGACAGAAACAGATCATGTCAAGCACGTGGAGGCGGTCTTAAAGCGAATTGACGAATTTGGACTTCGAATTAATAAGGACAAGTCGCAGATAGCGAGAAATAGCGTCACGCTGTTGGGACATAAAGTGGGAAACGGAGAAATAAAACCATCGCCGGAGAAAAATCTTACCATAAAAAATATTGCAGTACCTATTTCGAAAAGGAAGTTGAGACAGTTCCTGGGAAGAGCGACGTTCTACAGTCGGTTTGTCAAGAATTTCAAAGAAATAGCAACACCCTTATATAAGTTGTTGTGCAACAGCAGGTTTACGTGAACTGAGACTGCCGAACCAACGTTCAACCGAATCAAAAGCATGCTAAATCTCAGCACGGATTCAGAAAGCTCGTTTGGCCTTTGCCAACTTGTCACCTCTGGCGAAGGAGATGTATTTGTCTATCAATTAAGGGACAAATATGCTGTGCAGCAGTTCGTTCTGTTCTACATTATGGCTGCGAAATGTGGCCATTAAGTATAGAAGATACTCGAAAGCTACTAGTATCTGATCACAGATGCCTTAGAAATATTGCTCTCATCTGCTGCGATCATCGGGTAAGTAATAGTGAGGTTAGACGCAGGGTATTGGGGGATGATGGTGAATCAGTTGATGAGGTTATGAATCTTCATCGACTGAGATGGTTGGGTCACGTGTTACTTATGCATGAACACCGATTACCACAACTTGCCATGTTGACTAGTGTTTGGGATGGTTGGAAGAAAGTTAGGGGTGGCCAAACGAAAACTTGGCCTCACTCCTTGAAATCACAAAATTCTGGTGTGAGCCATGTTGGTAGATAAAGACTACTTGGTTGGTGTCCGTGTCACTATCATAACCAATGGTTGGAGATTGTGGGTGACATGACTCAGAATCGACCGGTCACAATGGTATGGGTGTATGCACACTCTGTCTACCATTAAATTGTGAGATTGAAATCGCTTCATATCTTTCTTTGTACCAACTAATTCTTTCTTTCTGTACTATATCCTTACATAAAATCTTTCATTTATATATTACTACTATTGAATTGACTACTTCTATGAATCCTGTGTTGGTCTTGTTGTGCTAATGAGGTATGGCGACTTCAGCCGATACATATATGTCCCTGATCCTACTTTTTAGGTGGCTGACTGACTTATGCATTTTATTCGCTAGTTCAACATACTTTCACACTCAAGTAATCAGTTGGGGTTGTAGCGCGTAGCAAATCGTTTATCAGTATCAGATTTCGGACACGGCCCGTTACAATTTATATGAACTGGACTGGAAACACGTTGCTTTCAAGAGGTAGATTCATAATAGTCTATTAATTCATAGTAACTAGTACCACGTTCAGTAGTCAACAGTGCATCCACTAATATAAATGATCTGATGCTGAAGTTTTGTTTGTCCGATTTAAGACGGTTGAAGATAATCAACTAATAGTCCTAGATCTAAGTTTCATCCTTTCCCAAACTTATTATCTGACTTTTTCACAGGAATTATATTCTTATAATTTTCTATCCGACATCACTGAGTGTTACAAATGTAGTATTCATTACACGACAGACCTTATGTAAAACTATGACATTCACACTAAGTGATAGAATTAGATCATGTCAATAAAAAATATTTATATAAGAAGGGATCTTTGTGGATATTATGGTAATTTCAATAGTTCAATTCATGAGTAAATTGAAGCTAAACCTCCATGGAAAACATAAAAGCATTGGATAACCATTTTGTCCTATTATGGAACTCCTTAACACTGCGTATCCGCAATCCAGAGACTGATATGTCCTGGTTTCAAATCTTGTGAGGAGAGATATCTTATCGATACTAACCAGTCAAACTATTAGGTATTACTCTGTTATAGACTCTAACGAATTATATATATATTATTTTCTAAACATATAACAATATATCAGAAGGGGTTTTGTGGAGATTTTTAGAAATTTCACTGATTGAAATCATGAGTCAATTGAAGCTAGACCATCATGGTTTAGTTGGCTAAGCGCCTGGCATGAGACTGACAGGTCATGGGTTCGAACCTCACAGGGTGAGGGATCGTGGATGCGCACTGCTACTGAGGTGTCTCATACTAGGACGTAACGGCCGTCCAGTGTTTCCAGGTTTTCCATGGTGATCTAACTCCAATTGACTAATGATTTCAATCAGTGATATAACAATTTGTTAACGACGACGACGACGACGGGAGGTGGGGAGAGGTAGAAAAAACAAGAGAGTAAAACAAAGAATTAATTATTTTTCTTTCAATTTCTTCGTTGATTCGAATTCGATCGACTTTTTGAACTAGATTTTGAACTTCTTGATGATTTAATTCTTGTGCTTTTTTTTACATTTTCAATTCGATTTAGAATTGGTTCTGTATTATCATGTTCAATCATTGTTTGATTGCATGATGCTTCTTTATCAATTTTATATTGTTTTATTAAATTATTTCTATAATTCATACACATTTCGTAGTATTTATAATGTGCTTCATCAGTTGCAAACAATTAATTGAAAAAAGAAAAAAAATGAGATGAACAGAATGAAAATAACACAATCCTAAGTACATATTATTGAACAATAAATATCCAAACTAAATGAGAGAATGAGACTCTAATTTAAAGACGAGTAAATCAGAAGCGTTAGAAGAATTTCAAGGTGATGGTGCTAGTTTCAGCACTTGATGCCTACGGATACCTGCACAAACTTGGATGTGTGCATCATGTCGTTATTTATAAGCGTTATTTTGTAGACCCTACAACTGGAGTACACACTGACAATATTGAAGTTATGTGGTCGAAGCCAAAAACGTTCTTACGACCCTACCATGGCTCGAGAGGTCGACTATTATAGAGCCACATGGATGAGTCCCTCTATCGTATGTACTATTATTTCAGTACCTCTGAACCTTTTTCAAATCACGATTAGTCTTCGAACCACCTTAATTCTTTGGGTTTTTTGTAATATATATATATATATATATATATATATATATATATATATATATATATATATATATATTTATGAAGTACATTCAAGATTCGTTCAAAGGTCGTCCATAGAGTCTCGTCAATAAGAGATATAATCAAAATATTAAAAAAGTAAATAATGATGAGTTGAAGATCAACTAGAAACTAATCAACATGAAGATCTACACGAATAAGCTATGAGTTATATGTGGAGAAATGTGAACATTTCATTACTGATGATAACGTCCAGAAAAGCGACGAAATCTCCCTAACCAAATGATTTAGTTTACTGAAGAAAACTTCATCTAGAATATTTAATAAAACAAAAACCGATGAGATTATAATTTATAGACGACCCATTTGGAGTTAAGAATAGAAAATGTTGGATTTTGACATGAAATTCATTCATTGATTTGGTTAAATACTGTTATATCCAAGTGAACATTACATTACGAGTAGCGTCTGAGATTTATTAATGGACTAATATTATTTCTATATTCTTGTGGTATAGATATTCAGTAACTAGACTGTGTATATCTATATTACCCTTGTTATAAGCTTCATTTCAACCTATAGATTATTAGTATATGCTTTATGGTTCTTAAGCTATGTTCAGTTTATTAACCACTGCCTTCCACGTTCATAGCCACATTTCTGACCTTATTGTGTATGTTATTTCCTATTTTATGGTGTGTTGCAGTATGTTTGTTTGATATATAAACTCAGTATGTCTGAAATGAATGATTCACGAAGTGGAGGCTGTAGTTGGCATTCTGGACTCAGCTGAACGGTTTAGGCGAACAACCAACCAATAGGACGCTAGGCTGATCAGACCGCCCACATAGCCCACATAGCTTATTTTAGCCTCTGGACAGGTCAATTTAACGGTTCTTCTTGAGTCACGTTTTCAACTTGTTAATTATTTACTTATCAACCTTGACTGTTTCTATATGAGTGTATATATATGTGTGTGTACACTGCTTATCCAACTCATCATATGTCTGTAGCTTATTTTTGTGTGACTATAAATATTGATTAACGCTTGGTTAAATAGAGTTGACTTTTGTCTGCCCAGATCAGGGAGTGTACAATATATATATATATATATTCAAAATCCATTCACGTATTTGACTTATATAATTCCGTTAATCACTAACGTAGATGAAGTTGATAATTATACACGACAATTGGCAACATGTATGTTTCAACAGCAATCAATCATACGTTCCAACTGAAGTCGGATCTCCCGCCACTAAAAATGTTATCGAAATATATATCCTGGCATTCCTCGTAGATAAATAACAATTTAATTCGCGTTAGTGAATAAGGGAATCAAAATAAGTCCGAAACGAGAAAGGATTTCGAATATGTATATTTCATACAATCGTTAATCTGGACAGACATTCAGAGGAACGATACAAATAGAAGAGAATGAAGTGAAATGACACACAGTGGAGAAGGAGTGTAAGCCAACTCCGTTTAACCAAGCCTTAATCAATAGTTATAGTTACACAAAAATAAGCTACAGCCATGTGATGAATAAGATAAGCAATGCCCACACATACACTCATATACAATCAGTCAAGGTTGTTAAAGGGAATAAGTTACAAGGTCTAATTAGCCTGTTCACCCAAAAGCTAAAATATGTTAAATGAACTTAACTATCCGTATAAGGGTAGTGGAGATTATTAATTCATTGATTGAGTTCATGAACAAATTGATGTAAGACCACCATTAAATACCTGGAAGCATTGGAATAAACCATGGATTCATTGAATAAGAATTCATAATAGATTGAACTTGTTCAATACGTTTACATTCAATCTCATTGAAATGATGATAGAATTTGTTTAAATTCATTAATTGAATTGGATATAGTGTACGATTTAATTCTGGTGGGAATTTTAAAATATAAATTTTAGATGGATCTAATAATGAAGTGTGATCTAATGGAGAATGATCTTTTATCATTTGTATTAGATTATCTAAAGAAAGAAAGAGAGTGAGAGAGAGAAAGAGAGATGGAGAATTTTATTAAAACAAAAGAAAATGAATTGATCACCAAAGTGAAATCTAATTTAACGCATGTTTCGTCTTTTTGTGAGATTCGTCAATTGTTCATATCCATGATTTACGATTTCACTTCATGTTAACTTCAGGTTATAGAATAAGTTATCCATGTATTGATAAATTATTTAGTGATGTTTAAAAGTTTAAAGAAAACAATCAAACCTTTTTGAGAAAAAAGTGAGTAGTATTTGTTATACTTAAGTAAGTAAGTAACTATCGTCTGAGACAAATTAACTGACTAATCTATACATTCTTATGATATAACTATTCAGTAATTGGATATAAATCGAATGTTCGAGTTCCCTAACTGAAGCAGGTGGGTTTCTCAGGGGGTCATAACCAGAGCCTCTAACCTAAAGATCTAATCCACAAGATGGTGGAGTAACTTGAGGAAATGCAGTCACATGTTAGCTGGTTACTAACAATTGATTCATATGCCATTTGTTTCCTTAGGATATTGAAGCCCATATGAATCATTGGTTTGGAATCAAGATGTTGCCACTCCCCTATGTTATATCCGAGAGAAGATTAAGTCACCAGTAACTTCTGAGATCTATTAATGCACTAATATTATTTATATATTCTTCTGGTATAAATATTCAGTAACTAGACTGTGTATATCCATATTTCCCCTGTTATAAGCTTCATTTCAACCTACAGATTATTAGTACATGCTTTATGGTTCTTAAGCTATGTTCAGTTTATTAACCACTGCCTCCCACGTTCATTGCCACATTTTGGCGTTACTATGTTTGAATGTTATTTCCTATTTTATGGTGCGTTGCGGTATGTTTGGTTGATGCATAAACGAAGTATATCTGAAACAAATGATTCGATTTGATTTGCATAGTGGAAGCTGATATTGGTGTTCTGGACTCAAGTGGATGGGCTAGGCGGATATAGGAACAATAAGGACGCTAGACTGCCAATACCGGTCGAACGTCATTGGTTTTGGCACAGTGCGAAGATTGATTGGTGGATAAATCACATGATAACTAGCCGGATATAAAGTCATAATAGGAATTGTTGAATTATTACTTCTTCAAATGATACAGATGTGAATTTAACAAGGAATTGAATGATTGAGTTTTCATGCCAGGGTCGTAACTACAGTGCAATGTGAATATTATTACAAACAAAATACTTTCCTAATAAAAACACTGGTAAGAGTAGGGAGAAATAAGCGTTTGAATAAATGAAAGATTCAAGATGTAAAAGAGAAGAGGTGAATGCATTTACTTCATGAAAGTTCATTTCCATTTTAACAGTTCAGTTAATTATTATTTCAAAGTTCTTACAAGTTTTCAAATGACTATTTATAATTTTCTGTGATCAACCCTATGTCTTACGATGTTCCTAGTTAACGTTCAATAAGACAAAATATTACAATCGATTGATCATTGGGTGATGATCAATGTTATGTATGTCAGGTCTTTCTTAGTTACGATTGAATCCTATCGACCAATTTGTAATGTGGCCATCAGTCTAGGTGATTCGACATAACGTGCACTATACAACTTGATCGATAAGATTCGATCTGCACTAAAATCCACCTGACATAAATGACATTGATCACTACTCAATGATCAATCAATTGTAAATACATTTCAGTCATACAGGAGGTCGGTCGAGGCCCGGATAGCTCAGTGGTTACGTCTCTAACTATGAAGCTGGGTGTCATGGGGTCGAATCTGCCAGGGAGCATCAGTCTACTCAAGATTACAGGTACACATTGCTGACAAGTGCCAAGTAGCACGAAACCTAGGTCAAGGGGTTCCTGTTGACTACTTCAAACCACCATCTTATCTCAATATGATATCACTCCAGCTTAGTACGTACACAGAAATAGATGTCTGGGTATCCGTAACACATATATTGATAATTTTATTTCACAATACTAGTGACTTCCCCATTCGTGTTTAGGTTGTGGGTAACAGCTGACTGAATGTTCTAGGAATTCAGATCCGACAATATTGACAATTATCAGTCAGAACTCTTTCTTACTCATATTTATAAAGTTTGTGTATTTCAAATGGACATGTTCGAATTCTGTACAATTTGAAACCTACAATGTAAATCAGTTCCATCAAGACTACAGACATGCTTAGTTTATGAGTAATGGTTGAGTTGAAACTTAGATTAAACAAGGTCTCTTGATGACAATACACACAACTAACAATAAAAAGGTTGATTGATTCACACAACTAACCATCAGATTTAATTGTGATCGTCGATCCTGAATCATCTACAATAGTTTTATTATCCAATTTATTCATTAGACCATATTCTTCAAGATAACGGGCTCTTGATAATTCAGCTCTTATTGCTCTACCAGGTTCCATTTCTTCCCAAGCTCTTTTTAAAGCTTTAATTTCTAATATTTTATTATCCATATTAATGACTTTAATGTCATTCTAATAAAATAATAAGAAAGTAGAAACATTCTATAAGCATAAAAGCAGGCAAATCAACAACATTCTATTCTTTCACTCAATTTCTATTCTCCAGAATTAATTATAAATAGTATTACTTACCTACTTACCTACTTACTTTCTTACGCCTGTTACTCCTCGTGGAGGAGCATAGGCAACCGACAAGCACTCTCCATCTAAACCTGTCCTGGGCAATCCTTCCCAGTTCTTTCCAGTTGTTATTCATATTGGTTTATATTTCCCAACATAATGTGTTCTTTGACCTTCCTCTTTTCCGCTTCCCTTCAGAACTCCAAGTTAGCGCTTGTCTCGTGATGCAGATTGGTGATTTCCTCAATGTATTTCCTATCCACTTCCAACGTCTTTTCCTAATTTCTTCTTCATCTGGAAGCTGGTTTGTTTTCTCCCACAAAAGGCTGTTGCTGATGGCATCCGGTCAATGTATGTTGAGTATCTTGCATAGACAACTATTTGTAAATACTTGTACGTTTTTGTTGATGGTCGTAGTAGTTCTGGAAGTTTGAGCTCCGTATAGTAGAAGTGTGTTGACGTTCGTATTGAAGATTGTGACTTTGATGTTGGCTTACAGACAGTTGTTTTGAGTTCTATATGTTTTTCAACAGCAGACATGCGACCATTTCTTTGCCGATCCTCACATTTACGTCTGCATCGAATCCTCTTTGTTCACCGATGATGCTTCCCAGGTATATGAAGGATTCCACATCTCCCAGAGTTTCACCATCAACTGCAGCATTACTCTGAATGAAAAATCTATTGCATGATCATTGTAGGTAATCTGAAAACGTTTCAATTGCTATGGTGAAGGCAACAATAAACAATCAACGTTAGGTACAAATAATAAAAGGAAGAAACAGCCCAGTTCAATATGACCAACCAATAAAACGAGAACTCATGATCTCAAATATTAAGATTACTATAATATCTATAAAAACCCCTTCTGAATAAGTCGCTGAATTTCGTGGACTAGTTGAAGTTAGACAATAACACTGTTGGATGCTGGTCGGCTCAGGGACCTAATGGCTATGCGCTCGCGCGCGAAACTGATGTGTCCTAGGTTCGAATCTCGCGAGGCGGGATCGTGAATGTGCACTGTTGAAGAGTTTTATGCTATGACAAAACGGCCGTCCAGTATTCCCATGTTTTCTATGATGATCTAGCATCAATCCACTTATGATCTCAACTATTAAAATTATTATAATATCCACAAAACCCTTTCTGATATTAAAACGAGAACATGCTTTTTTCAACTGACTAGTTAGATAAAACACACAGTATTAGCATTCCAAACTGCAATACGATTGACATTCATAAATGTATACTTGAATTCATAAGTCAATTATATCTAGACTACCATGGAAAACATGGAATTACTGGATGGCTGTTTCGTCCTAATATAGAACTCCTCAGTAACTCACTGGCGATATTAGTAGACGATGGGCTAATTTTGTGAATTGGTTAAAGTTAGATATTTGTAATGTTCTACTAACAACTATGCATCTGTATTAAGAGAACGCGATTGGTTTAATGAAAACAATTATTACTATAACCAATTGTACCAATGATTGTTTTACTGTGCTCGTTTGTTTAACTGCGCTAAAGATAGCCTTATTGCTCTTCCATTATTCTCCATTACTCCGTTCGCACGTACTTTCTTCAGCCGATTCCGTTTGTACCTTTTCTTAGCACGATCTCGGTATTCATTCGATACCACGAGATCACCAACGAATAAATTTGGTTGCGTTCAACCTTCGCCTTCTGATTTATTTGGCGCTTGTTTCTTTGTAGTGGTGTTCATAGTCAATTGGGACTCGACACCACGCTACACATTTATTAACATGAAATAAAATTGACTACCATTAGAAAAATTGCGATAAATAAACAACAGATAAACATCGAAATAGTTCCACCTAAGAAACATACTGATTCTAAGAATAAATCTTACAGAATTATTACATGTTATTCTCATTTTCCAATGAGCTTGATTAAAATCAATTTTTGCTGAAGTACCACGTGTAGAACCAGATTTTTGACCAGTGATACCAATTGTTTTGTTTCCAGGTGATTTTGTTGCTGATTTAATAGTTCCGCTGTCAGAACTTTTATCAGCTGAAGTATTTCGAGAAGTTGTATTATTTACTGAAAAAGTTAATCAATGAATGAACGATGATTAAGACAAATGATATTCTATTGTTGTAGTATTTTCTTATAATGAAGTGATGCTTAATTGGTTAAACCATTTATATCACTATTAATAAGTTGAGATACACTTTCTAAAAACTTGGCCAGTCTACAATATGAAACCAAAGACCAAATATATCCTGGAAACTGAAGGACCTGGGTTCGAATCCCGCGATAGGAATCGTAGATGCGCACTGCTGAGGAGTCTCACAATAGGACGAAACGGCCGTCCAGTGCTTCAAGGTTTTCAATGATGGTCTAACATCATCACTCGGTTCATGATCTCAATCAAAACTTAACAATCTCCACAACCTCTATACTGATATATCCTAGAAAGTTGAATTCCCACAATAATTCGAATAGTAATTGACGCAAACCTATAGTACATACATGTGTCAGGGCTGACCAAAATAGATGTGTACAAGGAATTTTTTGGTCCGATGAATAATGCTACTCCCTGCCCAGATTGATACAGACAGGAAAAATGTGCAGTTATCTTGGTTACATGAATGACTTATACTTGTAGCTGACTGATCATCTGCATATCATTTCATAAAAGCTGAGAGTCAGAGAATAAGTTATACAACACAGACAACTAAACAAACCAAGCTTTTCTCGGGCATATGTTAGTTCGAACAAAACCAGTTTCATTAGTAATGAGTAATAGATGAAAAAATAGTAGAATTTCACTGGTCACATAATGTCATATGATTTGAAAGATTTCAGACTGTTTATTGGAACCTAAGACTATTAAATCACTTTTCATGTTAGACGGTTACGTGAAATCCACAGGAATCCCTATATTTCATATACATTTCATACTAGATGAAACGTATCAGCAAGGCATGTATCTACACGTTTGAAGAAATAGATATTTACTCTAAAACATAAAGCTGCACTAACCAGTATCAGAGTCAAAAAAGTTGCCATTATAGTAGAACGTATAAATCAAATCTTCAATGAAGATGTTAGAATAAACATGACATACTCATTGATCAGTCAGTGTGTATATTCTGATTATACAGAAAATCAATCATGACTCAAATAGCCACATTAGTAACATCTTTATGACATTGAGTGATATGGGTTCAAGTCCAGTAAAAGAAATGGGATTCTTCGAGATTGTGAGTATGTATTGATGAAGGATAGTACATAGCACTGGGAACTATATCTAATACCTCTTCTTGATAACATTCTACGACCTAACACTAGAAAAATAGGGTACTTAATGTCAAGTCACCCATAATAATGATCAAATAATCAACACTTGTTGGGGACGATAGATCGCCAAAACTCATATTTTGTGATTTTATCATATCGATTAACTTATCGATTAAATGTTTAAATATTTGAATGGCAGTCAATTGATGAGCTTATCGATTAAATGATTAAATAGCAGTCAATTGACGAACTTATCGATTAAATATTTTAATGGCTGTCCATTGATGGACTTATTGATTGATGTTTAAAAAATTTTACCATGACAATATCGATTATAAATATTTGTATAAATACGCTTGACTTGTGTGCCTGATTGACTTGACTTGATCTGACATGACTTGGCCTTTCGATACGTTGATCGAGAACTCAGTGGGCTTGTGGGACGTCAACTCCAGTTAACAACCCTACTCTGTCACATGTAATAGTAGGTAGCCGTACACCTTCCAAATGTTTCCACCTTTTCCGGAAGTCGGTCGGTGGCATTTCTGTTTTTATAACAGGTAGGTTATCGATAGTTTATGCACCTTCGATCCTTATTCGGTTAGTCTTATCTGAAGATTCAATTTCGAAATTAGTAAATTCAGCGTTCTGATATGACGCTCCAATTACAGAGGATATGTTTAATCGAGCCACTGTACCTGAAATTCCCACCTGCTTTGCCACATCACTAAGCAGTAGTGTCGTGTCTGCGCCGTTATCTAATAATGCATAAGTATCCACGTGTCCTGTGGAGCCATGTAACCTGACTGGTACAAGTCCTTAATACGTTCCAGTAGAACAAGTAGAATTACAGCGTGCTTGTTTAACATCAGGTCCTGTGTCATGAAGAATTCTATGATGACGTCGTTTGCATCCATCGATTTCACACGACATGGGTTGTCGGCAGTCTGTTGCTCGATGATTGAGTTTTAAACAATTGAAGCAAAGCTTAAACTTATTCAGTAATTCTAACCTTTCGTTGTGATTTACTGCTAGCAGCTGTGGGCGAGATACGACTTCGTGGGTATCAGAGCAAATTACACAATGAACTGTTCCTTTACTCGACAATGTACGGATCTTAGCTCTAATGGAAGCAGACCGGTTGTTCGATGTCGTTTGAGCTTTATAGATCCCACTTACTAACTGCCCTTAAGTGTTCGTGGCGATTGACACTCTCCTTTCTAAGAATTGCAACAAGTCATCAAAATTGGGCTCTAGCCCCTTTCTTAAAATATCGTCTGCGGCTTCCGCCCATTTAAACTGTATACCTCGTGGTAGTCGTTTCACTATTCGTTTTATATTGGTCGAACAATTCAGATCAGCATTTCTGCCCATCTGTGACAAGGCTATCTTACAGTTGGTCATTAGTCTCGTTACTTTCTGTAGCCCCGTTCCATCGTCTTGATTTAGTGGTGATCCATCTAACAATTCTGTTAAGAACGCTTCTACGATGTCATGTGGTCTGCCGAACTGTTTGTGTAGAATAATAATTGCTTCAGTATAACACAGTGTTCTTTAGCATCTTATGCTGCGCCTTCACAATAATGTATCAGGTACATTATTCTCTGAGTATCATCATCTACTCTGTCGGCTATGTTAGCCTTGAATCCTTTTATGAACGTCCAAAATTTCAAAGGACTTCCATCAAATTTCATGACCTCTATCTTCGGTAAACTGGTTTTCATAAATAGTGACTTGATACTATCCATGATCAATTAAAGTGTTGTTGAAATATATATGCTCAATGTGTCAATCACCATATTTTCTTTCTTTTAAAATAATTTCATAATTAACTTCCTTAAACTACTTACTTCAAATAAATATAGATAGTGGCTAGCAGTGGAATCCACTTTGACACTCATTTCGTCCTATTTGGGAATCGTCAGCTGGATGTACCTGCATCTCAGAGTTGATGTTCATTCTAGGACTCGATCAATTACAGTCTTAAACCTCAATAGGAAAATACAAGCCAAACAATACCAAGTGAATATATAACTTATTAAAATCACAGTGTTAGTATGAGAACATCTTCACTAACCAACTATTATAGGCATATGATTATCAATCAGAACTCAAGTGATGCAAACCAATGAATCATAGTGCTATGGTAAAATTTGAACATCATACATTAAATACATGATTTCTATACATTCTTTCACTTGTCCCATACATAATTCTTCATTTCTCAACCTTGTTTCTTATTTCAATTCTTCTCTGTTTCACTTTCTTTTCTCTTTGATTTGGTCTTCCTAATCTATCTCACTATTAGGCATTCTATTACTGATTGACGTTATATACTACTAATATCTATCAATATAAGTAGCATAAAGCACAATGTTATATAATATACGAGAAATACAGTAAATGATGGATCATTATATTAATAATTTAGAAGTAGAATATTATAGTTAATATAAGCTGTGAAGTCATTTAAATAGAAACTGTTATATCCCGATAAGCATAATGAATGGTAACTTTTGGGATCCATTTATGGACCAATACAATGTGTATACTTTTATCGTATAATTGTTATATAACTAAACTTTACATATTCGTGTTCCCCCTATTATGAGCTTCATTTTGACTTATGAATGATTATTATGCGATTTATCATACTTGAATTATGCCCCGTCTATTAGTTACTTCCCCCCTCATTCACAGCCAATTTTGGCCAAATCTTGCACCAGTATTATTTTCTATTTTATGTTACGATGCGGACTATTCGGTAGGTATATAAACCCAGTCTGTTTGAAACATCATGATTCGTAATCTCATAGACTGCGATTCACCAATATTCCTTCAATACGAGAAATTGTTAGAACTATACTTACCAATAACTGATTATCATATATGATAATGATAAAATAGAACTAGGAAATAAACAGTTATCCTAAAGTATGAAACCAATACGGTTTATGCATAAACATTAAGATTTTTCACAATGCCATGGATCATCTGTGTATGAAAACTGAATAATCCATTCAATTCAGTTATCATATATCGTGGATGCGCAATGCTGAGTAGTCCCATACTAGGACGAAACAGCCGTCCAGTGCTCCCAGATTCTCCATGGTGGTCTAGATTCAATCGGCTCATGGTTTCAGTCAGTGAAATTTCTAAAATCACCTTTCTGAAAATGTCTATTTGTCTTTTCCACTGATCACTTTCCCTGTCGAGAATATAATTTATAGACCAACCAATCAGATTTCGCATAACAGGTCTTGAATTCGGGCATGAAATTCACTCATCCATTCGGTCATACAGGGCATTTTAGCTGATGTCAGCTCGTGATGAAAAACCATGATTCTTATTCCTAACTCTAACCATCAATTGTGAATCATAATCCATATTCTTCAAACTGCTTTACAACTCTCATTTAGCCCTGGCAAGTAGGTAGAGACTCTCAAGATCAGCTTGGCGTCAATTAAAGGTCGTCCGAAAAATTATAGTCTCACCCTTTTCCTTAGTTGGAAGTAATCAGAATGGTGTATTTTCTAAATATTCTATTGTGTATTATTGCATAATTAATGACTGCCTTAAGGAATGAATATTTTTAACCAACATGTTGTTCTACATTTGTAATAAATATGAGATAATTACACTTGGATAATGGAGAACGTGATATAAACTAACTTAAAACAGATACTGCACTAGTAATTCTGAGAAACAGACTTTGAGGCTTACTGAGAAAAAGAAATTCTATTCCATCTAACAACGTTTTATATTTTCTAATCGACCTATGATTTGTGGAATGCTACTAAACATAGTAGCAATGTAGCAATCAGCCTCCGCACCGGGCGTTTCACTTCCTTAATATTTTTGGCTGAAACTTCAAGTGAACACTGATTGAATGAAACGCTTCTTAGCGTTTTCTGATAGTCGCTTGCCTTTTGCAAGAAATTTCACGGATCAATCCAACACATTCATGTCAAAGCACCACTTCAAGTTGTTGTTTTTTTTCATTATTCAACATCATCCTATTTTATTATAGACTACTAGTATTAACTATACATAGGATTGTAAAGAAACATTTCTTCGCTGAATTGCCTTTGGTAAACCGCATCGTTGTTAAAGAAAATCTCCTTTTCTGAATCACATAAAAAACGCCACAATAGATACCTTTCATAGTTTGAAACAAATGTATCAATCATATTCTCATATTAACTATTCTATACAAGATCCCAGTGGAGAAAGAAATTAGGAACAAGCACTGGAAATGGAGAGGACACACATTTGGGAAAGCCCACAACTGCGTCACAAGGAAAGCTCTCACTTGGAATCCTCAAAGTCAAAATAGCAGATGAAGACCAAAAACACATTTCGCTGGAAAACGGAGACATACATGAGGAGAATGAACAACAATCGGATAGAAGTGGAAAGGAGCCTCAAATGTCCAGGTACGGCCGAGAATGTAGAGAGTCAGTTCCCTCTCTCCGAATGTTCTCACATGGCCACGTGTATATAGCCTCTGACAGGGAAGTACCACTCACTACCTTCTTGTGGCACTACTGTTGTTTACGAAAATGAGAGGACGAGAAGAGAATGTCCAACGCTTTAACCGGATCCCAATACAAATCAATGGTGCACATGGGCTCCAATATTCTGGGTGAACAAATGGCGTATGAACCAATCGTTGGTCACCGGCTACCATGGGACTGCATTTCCTCACGATGCTCCACTACCTTGTGGGTTAGACCCTTAGGTCGAAGGCTTGGGGTGTGGTCCTCTAAGAAAACCATCTGCCTCGGTTTGTGCAACCGGGCAGTATCACAGCCTTCACACAAGTCGAATAATAAAGTATGAAGCATATCTATTCGATGCTTCATTGTATCAATGTGTTAAAATAATAATATAAGAATATTAAGTTAGATGAGATGTACTTTTCGGTCTATTTTCTATACATGGAAATTGTTATATCCTGGTGAGGATTGAATTACGAGTAACGTTTGAGACCTAATAATGGACAAATATTATCTTTTTATTCTTATGGTATA